CAGGAACCGAACTGCAAAAATAGCCTTTTGGGTTAGGACATTGTGATTCAGTGTAAAACCTGCTTCTACTGCTCAGGAAAAATGTCCCTGCTTTGGCTCTGGCGTGGCAGCTGGCAAGAAGTGGCCATGCGCCCTTGAGCTGATCGGAGATCCTCCAAGTCAGTCAACTTTTGTTGCCAACTCTGCAGCTGGTGGCCTTGGGACAAATTTATTAATTTGTCTGTTCCTTAGCTGGCTTTTATGTAGAATGAGGTGCGTTTTCAAGGTCCCCCGGCTCTCAAACGCTGCGATTGGCCAAGATTTTTTTCCCTTTAGCAGCTGTGCTGGAACTGTGGCTACAGTCAGCGGAATCACGCTGTGGGCTTAAGGCTGCCACACCTGCTAATGCCGCCTTCCTTCAGAGGGAAACGAGAACGTTGGAGACCTCCCAGAATGATCCTGAGCTGCTTTGCCCAACTAGGCGGATGGGGTTTCTTAGAGTGGTGGGGCTGCAGGAGAGATTTCTGAGGCTGGCTAGTGGTTAACAATACAGAGTGACTTATATCGTGAGTTGCTGTCACAGTTACATCAACTGGCACCTTTTCTCTCCCCTGGATCTCTTTGAATACATTTTTTCATTTTTCTCGGCCTCAGCTTATTCATCTGTGTAATGGGACCAAACTGATTCCTCTTTGAAGACTGTTGCAGGCTCCTGTGGTGGGGTTCTAAACCTTTTACAGCCATCAGTTATTCCGCTAGAATTTTTAACTATTACATTTATTTATTTATTTGCTCTTAAATGGGTGAAATGGGATATATATGTCTGTAGGTATATGTTTTTATTTTTATCTCACAATAGAAAAACATGCTTAATGTTTTCTTTATTTTTTGATTTAAGTATAATTAGTATACAATACTATATTGCTTATATTAGTTTCAGGTATACAGTATAGTGATTTGACATTTTTATACCTTACAGTGTGATCACCCCACTAATTCTAGTGATCACCTGTCACCCTGTAAGCTTGTAACAATATTTTTTAATACATTCCCTTTCCCCTTTTTACCCATCCCCTCCTTCTGGTAACCATTGCTTTGGTCTCTGTTTCTGTGAGTCTGATTTTAATTTGTTTTTGACTTGTGAAATTAGGTTCTATTCCCACCAAGGACAGAAAATCCATGTTCTCTTTCTCCCTCTCTGCTGTTCTCTCCTTCTCTCTCCCTCTCCCCCTGTGGCTGGTGTGTGCATTTATTTGCTCGGAGTGCAGGTAGGTGCCAGGGCACTGGTGTGGTATGCATTTCACCATTTCTTAGGATGGAACTGCCTGTAATCCGAATGAAGAAGGAAATCATTTCTGCTCTGAGTAACTTTGTTCATTTTTTCCAGCTTAGAAGCATGGTTACTTTCTAATTATAGATTGTGGCTGGGCATGTTGTAAACTCAAACCAGTTCTATCTCTTTGCTCTGTTCTTTTCCCTTGGACATGAGCAACAGGAACAGGTGGAGAGCAAATCTGGAATTGCTTGAGTCAGACCTGGATTTTTCATTGTTCTTTGTCCTTGGCTTTATTTAGACATTCAGCCCAGATATCTACGTTACTTGTCCAGAGGAAAATAGAAAAGGCTTGGCATGCATTTTATGACATACTCACTTCATGAATTATTATTTTAATAGGTATTCTAGAAAGAACTGAGTAGGAGATCTTTGACACTTTGCTGCCAACCAGTTGTCTCTGATTTACAATTTATGCAAAGAACCTCCTGAAACTTGAACCCTCCACTGTAGTTCTTTGTATTAATGTTGGTCTTTTCTTTTCTTTATAGCTCAGAAATATTTGGTGAGTTATATATAGGTCAACGTCAACACTATGTAAAAGGGTTTGTTTCTTCCAGGTACCTTTTCTCACTTTCCATTTGTTCATTTTTAAATATCGACTTTTTAATATTCAAGTAATACTTGGCTATTGAGAAAAACATGAAAATAGAAATAAGCAAATGGAAATAAACTACCCATGATCCTACTACCCAGTAGAACTACTGTAGTCTTTAGTGTAATTTCTCTCAGATTCCTTTTGGTGTTGGGAATGAGATTTATTAATCTGCAAGTCTTTGGGCCTCTCCCCACCACCTGCTAAGGAGGATTTTGTTTTTGCCCTAAGTCTTCCCTTCCTAAGGCCTATAGGGAGATTTTTGCTTTTCTCAAACCAGTTACTGGGTTAAATCAGGAGGTAGGGTAAAACCCACATAAAATTTAAAAAAGAAAAGAAAAAGGTACAGAGAGACTAACTAGACCCAGATAATAAAGAACTGGGGAGGAGGGCACGCAGACTAGCACAGGGGTGGATGCTGGGCAGGCTTGGGGCAGGGATCAGGGTTAGGGGAGGAGCAGCTTCACTGGTCAGGTGAGTGGAAACTGTTAACCCTAAAGATGGGCTGTTGTATGGGCTGTGCGCACTTGGGCGTGCAGCTGGGGAACAGCTGCTTTTATATTTTATTTAATCCTCACCCGAGGATATTTTTTCCATTTCTTTTTAGAGAGAATGGAAAAGGGGAGAGAGAGGGAGAGAGACAGACAGACATTGATGTGAGAGACACAGCGATTGGTCACCTCCCACACAAGCCCCGACCAGACCGGGGATGGAGCCTGCAACCGGGTATGTGCTCTTGACCGGAATCCAGCCCAGGACCCCCAGTTCACAGGCCGATCTCTAACCTCTGAGCCAAGCCAGCTAGGGCTATATTTTCTTTTTATATGTTCATATTATTTCTGATCACAAAATAGTATACTAATTGCAAAAATTTCTACTTCTGAGTCATATAACAGATAAATCTACCTGAGAGAATGTGTTTCGGTTGATTTTACCCACACAATATATTATTAATGTCTTCCATGTTGTTAATTATACTTCAACTTTTAAAAAATTGCTGTATATACCATCTAGTAAATTCTTGGCCCTATAGGTTATTTCTAAAAGTTTTAAATCATAAATACCACTCATGTGGATATTGTTACAACTCAATCTTTGCATTTTTATTTATTTCCTTAGATTCTATTCTAGGGAGGGGATTTATTGCCTTGAAGGGTATAAATCTTTGCAAGAGTTTTGAATGAAATGAGCAATTTATTATTGTAGAGTTTAATTTTAAATTATGTACTAGTACTCTTACTACTGTTTAATTCTATGCCTTTTAATAGAAAATTTTAACTTCAAAGCATTTTGACATTGATTATATTCCTGATTTTACCCATTAATATATGCAATACTTTCACTCCTATTTGAAACTATTTGAAATAGCTTTTGTGTTTTAAGAGGTAGAATCAGAGCTAAAATTTAAAGGGATTTTTAAAAAAGATTCTTGGTTATCCTACATATGAATTCCAGCATGAGTATGAATCCTTCCTCTGGCTGCTTCAGAGGTAGTAAGCTGTTGGCCTCACCTCCCATTGTCCTGCCCTCCCGGGTCCCTCACAGTCCCTCAGGGTGACATTCAGAGCATGATGAAAACACGCTGACCCTCTGTCCTTCCCAAGTAAAGTGCTTGTTAGCCTCTCATGAGGGTGAAATGTTGGTAATTTGTGGACTAGCCGACAACAACTGTCTTGTTAAGGGTTTTTATACACAGTGGGTTGGGGTGGAGGTGAGGGTACAGTGCCCAGGCATTTTTGCTTGTGAAATGCTTGGTCTAAATTTCTTTTCCATAATGTGTTCCCCCATTATCAATAGTAGTATAACCTTTGACTCCTGTAGCAGTGAGTCTGCAAGCTCTGTATTTGGAAATCCCAGTTGATAACCCACCTCCCAATGATGCTCTGAGCCTTGTTAAAGAATATAATGGACTCTCTGTGCCAAGCATCATAAACTCAGATGCCATCCTGGCTAGGCTGGTTATGTAAGAGAGTGATGCAGGCAGTTATTAGGAAAGCAGTGAGTAGTGTCAGCTCACTGGGGGCCTCTGTCATAGATGCCATAGGTAGTGGTGGAGATGGGGCATAATGGAGATGATTTGTTCTATCTGAACAGGAAGGCAGCATCAGTGTTTGTGATGTGGGAAAATAGGCCTAGTGTTGTTAGATTTTCTTGTTTCTGGGAGAAGCAAGAAATACCAAGTTTTATGGATTCTTTAAACCCCTTGGGATTTGAGTAAAAGTTTTTTAAAACACTGTACATTTCAAACACAAATTTGACTGTAGACTAGATCTGGCCTATGGAGGCCATTAAGCGACCTCTGTGTTCCATTCGCCTATCATGGCCATTTCTATGAGGATGTAAGTAAGCCCTTGGGGCTCAGAAAATACAATATAATGTGCACCAGAGCCCAGGATGAATGAAGCTAAACACAGCCCCTCCAAACAATGGGGCCACCTAGATTTGACAAGTCTTTAAAATTGTGGGCCTCTAATGAGATGAACTGACAAGCTTGGTGGGTGTCAAACTGCCTAGGCGTGAGTCTTTGCTCCACCATTTTCTTGCCTCTGCACCTCTTTCTTCTTCTGAGAAATGAATGAGTGGTATCTGCTTTATCAGGTTCTAAGGATTAGATGAGGCAATTTGGATAAAATGCTTAGTAAATACTCACACTTGTTTTGACTCCTCCCTTCCTCATCTTCCTCTTCCTACTGCTGCTACTATTTTTTTTAAAACTTACCTTTATTGTTGAAAATGTTACAAATGTCCCTCTTTTTCCCTGTTGACCCCCTCCACCCTGCACCCCTTCCCCCAGGCCTTCACCACGCTATTGTCTGTGTCCATGGGTTATGCATATAAAAATATAAGTTCTTTGGTTAATCTCTCCCCTCCCACCTCCCATCCCTGCTTTCCCTCTGAGATGTGTCAGTCTGATCCATGCTTCTATGTGACTGAATCTGTTCTGTTCATCAGATTATTATGTTCTTTAGATTGCACATATAAGTGAGATCATGTGATACTTGTCTTTCTCTGCCTGGCTTATTTCACTTAGCATAATATTCTCCAGGTCCATCCGTTCTGTTGACCCAGCCTCCTTCTTTTCCTCCTGTTCCAGGTTCCTGAGCCCCTTCAACATGATCCTTGGTGGAATCGTGGTGGTGCTGGTGTTCACGGGATTTGTGTGGGCAGCCCACAATAAAGACATACTCCGCCGGATGAAGAAGCAGTACCCCACAACCTTCGTCATGGTGGTCATGGTGGCCAGCTACTTCCTCATATCCATGTTCGGTGGGGTCATGGTCTTCGTGTTTGGCATCACTTTTCCTTTGTTGTGTAAGTGAACCTGAACTGACTTTTCTTACATCATAAAAAATGTAGGAGCCATTGTTCAGTGGGAATTACATAACCTGTTTCTCATGTGTGTTGGCGCGTCTGCAAATTATCAGAATTTTCTGAAATAGCAGATCAAGGCCTGTAGTACATTAATTCTACAAATATGTATTGGGTACCTGCTCAATGCCAGACATTCTTCTGGGGACAGAGCAGTAATCAAAAGAAATACAACTCCCCAGTCACAGGACAGGACAGGACAGGACAGGACAAGGGGCCTGGATGCACTGGGCTCCAGGTGTGTCTGAGAGTGGATCTGCGCCCAGTCTTTACCTGCGAGTCACATGGTCCTGACTCAGGAATGAATGCATTTCATTTGAAAGTAAACTACTTACTCTCTACTACTCAGATCATTTTGGGGGTCAAATTTTTATAAGTCTATAGAAAAAATTGGTACAGAATATAGATACCAAGTCCTTCGATTCAGATGAGAACTAGATATGTTGTAAGTTTTACATGCTTTTTTTTTTAACTGAAATTCCAAACACATGAAGCCTGAAACAGAGAATAGATAAAATTTAAGTCTCATCAGCAGAAACCTGATTAAATGTCTAGTATATTAAGTGACAGGAACATCCCTTTAACTTTTAATAGCATTTCACATGTGCATTGTTCCATTAAGTAAAATCAGTTGATGTTGTGTTAGATTAAGCCCAGAATATTTATAGTTGAATCCCACACAGAATTGGACAAAATATTTGAATAAGTAAATTCAGACTTTTTGAAATATCCTTCAAGTTTTCCTTATGTGCTAGAGGCTTAGTTAGTATTTCAGTGACTCTGCTTACACTCACAGCTTGTTAACTTTAGTACTTTTTCACCTCAGAGCCAGTGTAACGAAAGGGATCATAGGTAGGGAGTCAAGGGTCTCGATTTCTATTTCTAGACTAGCCTGCTGGAAACCATCCATATGATTTGGACCAGGTCTACTATATGGGCTGCAATTCACACATCTATAAACTACAGAAAATTTGACAAGATCAGTGATCCCCAAACTTTGATGATTGTGAGAATCACCCTGGACGCATTTATAAAATATTTCCTACCCATATTTCTTGGAGAGTGGAAGGGAGAGAGAAAGAGAGAGACAGAAACATCAATGATGAGAGAGTCATTGATCGGCTGACTCCTGCACACCCCCAACTGGGGATCACGCCCGCAACCCAGGCATGTGCCCTGACTGGGAATTGAACTGCCATCTGCTAGATTCTAGGTTGATGCTCAACTGCTGAGCCATGCCCCACTGAGCTTTCTTGGAGATCTTCATTCTATGGGTTGACAGTGGTGCCCATAGAACCTGTACTTTAGAAATTGCCTCATATGTTTTTAGTGGCCACTCTAGCATGGGAGCCTCCAGATAGAATGCACATTAGTGTCTCTCAAAATGCGTATCCAAGATTACCTGTATCAGCATCATCCAGAGAGAATGTGAAATTTTACATTCTGGCATCCCACCCCAGTCTTAACAGTCTGAATTTTGGGAGGTGGAGACTGGGAATTGGTCTGTTTCGCAGGCTACTGAGGTGATTTGTATGTACCTGGAAGTTTGAGCATCACTACTGTGGATCACGTAGGTGCCTGTTTAAAATAGATTCTGGGCCCCTTCCTAATTTAAGGTTCTGGTCTAGGAGAGGGGCCAGGAAATCTGTTTTTTTGGTAAACAAACTTGGGCAATTCTCAGTGATGAAACAAATTTGGGGAACATGAGGATACATTAAATCTGGAAAACTGTCACCCTGGCCGGTGTGGCTGAGGTAGTTGACCACCATCCTGGGCTCTGAAAGGTGCTGGTTCGACTCCCAGTCAGGGCACATGCCTGGGTTGAGGGCTTGATCCTTGTTAGGGGCGTGTAGGAGGCAGCTGATTCATGTTATGCTCTCATATCAATGTTCTTCTCTTCTCCCTTCCTCTCTAAAAAGCAATAAATTATTTTTTAAAAATCTATTAAACTGTTAGTTTTTATCTAAAAATCTATATCCAACACTTTGGAAAGCTGCCTGTTGGGTGGACTTCACCATGTGCTCCCTGGTAATCCCGGAGCTGAGCATGGGGCCCTTTCTGGAAACCTGTGTAGGTGGGTTTTCTGTGGTTGGAACGTGTTGACTGCTTGAATGTTGGCCTTTTGGTAGTGGCTGGAAGGTGGTGGAACCCTGTGGGTGGGACGAGTGGCTGCCAGGCCCACATCCTTCCTACGGGAGAGAACCCTTTTCTTCATACAGAACGGTTCACGTGTGATTGCCGAAGAGCCTGCTTGAGTAAGGCTGTAGGCAGTCTGCGCAGCCCTGCGAGGGTTTGGACAGGTTAGGGAAGCAGGTGCACTCCGCCAATGGAGGCTGGCTGGGGAGGGGAGGGGAAGGAAAGGGAGGGTGAACTGGGTGGGAGGCAGGTTGCTAACCAAGTCTCACCTCTCCACAGTGATGTTCATCCACGCCTCGCTCAGGCTGAGGAACCTCAAGAACAAGCTGGAGAACAAAATGGAGGGAATCGGTCTGAAGAGGACACCCATGGGCATTGTCCTGGATGCCCTGGAGCAGCAAGAAGAAAACCTTGGCAAACTCACTGACTATATCAGTAAAGTGAAAGAGTAGACCCACTGACCTGGGGAGAGCGCTGCAGCAGAAAGCGAGTGGCAGCCTGCATCGCCCAGACCCACATTCTGTTTGTGTTTTTGAAATCGGAGGGACATGCCACCCAGCAGTTGATGGCCGGTGCATGTGTAGGCCAAACTGTTAACACCTCTGATGTTACAGGGACAGGGCCTCAGGGACTGAAAGAAACCCCCTCCTACTATGTCTGAACCTTCAGCTCTGTTTATGAAACCTGATAGGAAATGGAGCACACTTATGTCCTTAGGGGAATAAAAGAAAATATAAGAATCATGGATTGTACAGCAACAGTACTATTACCTTGTGGGGAAAAAGTGATTGTCGTGCCACAGCAACAAGGAAATGGAGAGACTCTTCGAGTAGATGCCATACGTTAGCCTGTTTAATCCCCTGGCATCCTCTAAATATATTCCCCAGGATTATATGTGGGCTATAGATTAGTTTAGTTTTTACTGTTCTTTAAAATGAAAGATGATCTCTATCACTTTGCCTCCTGTTTGACATGCAGAGGAAACTGGATAAACCAGTTGTTTATATTTTGTTTACAAATATAAAGATAGCTGTTTAGGGGAATATTTTGTCAGATTTTTGTAATTTTTGAAATGCTAGTCATATGTTTTTACTAGCAGGTGTTTGCTGCAAACTGAATGTCATCTTCCTCGGGAGCTTACCGCTGTGTACCCTGTATTATTCTTTAGAGTCTTCTTTAAAAAAATAATAAAACAAGTTATGTTTATATTGCACATTTTTTGTTGTCATGATAACAAATAGGTGTCCAAGATAATGTCTCCTATAGTTTTTCATTTTTAGTTTTAAAATGAATGTGCATTTTTTAGGGGCACAGAGAGGACAACAGTAATTGATTGACATCTGAAAAGCATCTTTAGATGACCAAGCAAAAATACTTTTAAAAATGGGAATGAGAAAGATGGTGGCAGATTGAATGGGAGCTACACTGACACTCTCTTGGGACCAAACTGGAATTACAACTAAAATTTAGAAAAACTACCCTGAATAATCAACTGCAACTAAAGACTAGCTAGAGAGCACCCTCATGACCAAGAAGGAAAAGTGGAGACCACATAGAGACTGGTAGGAAATGTGGAGGCACAAGAGGACTGGCTGGGCTCCCACAGGCAGCAGCTGAAGGTCTGGAGAGATATCTCAGCTGTGGGGGGGTTCCCACTGAGAACTCTTGAGCCTAAACCCTAGGCTGGGCTTCCCAGCTAAGAGAACTAGAACTGAGAAGGTTGCCCACATAACATCTGGGTGTGAAAAGCAGCTGGGTTGCTGTCTGCCAGGGAGAGAAGGCTAGAGAGGCAGGCACCCTCTTAAAGAGCCAACACACAAAGTTTCCTGTGCAGCCACATACCTTGGGCTCCAGCAGGGGGAGGGCAAGAGTGGACTGGAGCTATGTGAGGAGAATCTAGGATTGTGGGCTCTGGAGATAAGCTCAAAAGGCACCCCTCTGGATTCCTGTGCCAAGTCATTTACTTTCTAAGCAGCTTTTGCCTAAGGGGGAAGCAATTAATCCACCCTGCTGGAAAACCTCTTGCCCTGCCCCGTGGAGTTTCTACAGCCTGAGACTCTTTCAGAGAATTCAGATTAATAACCCTGCAGGCAGAAACAGAACTCAGAGTGCTTCAAGTCTTTGCCTGATCTGCTTTGGGACCTGTACCTTGGAAAAGCAGACTTTAGTGTTCATCTTCATCCTGTCCAAGCTCATCCAGCTCCAACAGAGGGGACCTCAAGCCATGAGTTGTTCATAGCTCCAAACAGGACACTCAGGGCCAGTCAGAAACAGTGTCTGACATTGGCTTGCACCACAGACCTTCCAAAAAGACTGAGAGTCCTAGCAGGCCTACCTAATACATAGAAACAAACCCAAATAGGCATCCAAAATAGGGAGATAAAAAAACAAGCCCGAAGTGAAATAAGAGAAGTCTCTAGAAAAATTGCTAAGTGAAATGGAGATAAGCAGTCTATCAGATATAGAGTTCAAAATACTGATTGTAAGGATGCTCAGCAGCATGAAAAAGGTATGGAAACTATGAAGGAAATGAAGAATGACATAGCAGAAATAAAGAATACACTGGAAGGAAAAAGCAGATTAGAGGAAGCTGAGTATTGGATCATTGAGTTAGAAGACAGGGTAGAAAAAGAATCACTCAATCAGAGATCCAAAAAGAAAAAACAATTAAAAAAACAGGATGGTCTAAGGGAGTTGTGGGAAAACATGAAACGTAACAGTATTCACATCATAAGAGTGCCAGAGGAGGTCGAAAGTAAGAAAGGGTTAGAGAATCTGTTTGAAGAAATAATGGCAGAAAAACTTCCTTAATCTGGTGTAGGAAAAAGTCACACTAGTTCAGGAGGCACAGAGAGTCTCAAGCAAGAAGAGTCCAGAGGCCCACACCCAGGCACATCATAATTAAAATGCCAAAAATTCAAGACAGAATATTAAAGGCAGCAAGAGAAAAGCAATCTGTTACCTACAAAAGAGCTCCCATAAGGCTGTCAGATGACTTCTCATCAGAAACTCTATAGGCTAGAAGGGAATGGCATGAGCTATTCAAGGCAATGCAAAACAAGGATCTGAAACCAAGATTACTCTATCCAGCAAGGCTATCATTCAAAATAGATGGTGAAATAATTTCCCAGACCAAAAGAAAAAAAAGTTAAAGGAGTTTATCACTGCCAAACCAGCATTACAGGAAATGTTAGAGGGACTGCTGTAATTAGAAGTAGAAATAGAAGCATTGCAAGAAATGCTGAAGGGACTGCTGTAATAATAAGAAATAAAGAGAGAAACATAGGCATAAAGAATTAAAATGACAATAAATAAGGACCTATCTGTAATAACCTTAAGGATTTTAAGGGAGAGATCAACAACAATACAGTCATAGTCATGGACTTTAACACCCCACTGACTTCAATGGGTAGATCTTCCAGACAAAAAGTAGACACAGAAACAGTGACTAAATGGCACACTAGATCAGATGGATTTGACATTTACAGAACACTTCACCCCAAAGCTGCAGAATATAAATTCTTCTCAAGTGTGCATGGGTCATTCTCAAAGATAGACCACACGTTAGGACACAAAACCAGTCTCTACAAGTTCAAGAAGATTGAAATCATATCAAGCATCTCAGATCACAAGGGCATGAAATTAGAAATCAACTGCAGTAAAAACACTCAAAAACATTCAAACACATGGAGGCTAAATAGCATGTTATTAAACAAGGAGTGGGTTACCAATGAGATCAAATAAAAAGCTTCCTGGAAACAAATGAAAATGAACACACAACAACCCCAAATCTATGGGACAGAGTGAAAGCAGTCCTAAGAGGGAAGTTCATAGCACTACAGGCCTACTTCAAAAAGGAAGAAAAATTTTTACTAAACTAACCCTACAATTTAAAGAGTTAGAAAGCTCCCCCATGAAGCCATCCGGACCAGTGCTTTTGTTTGCTGGGATTATTTTTACTACTGCTTTGATTTCATCAGTTGTTGTTGGCCTGTTCAGGTTTCCTGATTCTTCCTGACTCAGCTTTATAGGATCTCACTCATACGTGAAATCTAATAAACAAAATAGACTGAGGAACAAAATAGATCCAGAGACATAGAAACATGGGACAGACTGATGAATCTCAGTGGGAAGGCGGAGGTAGGGGAGTGGGTGGGAGAGATTAATCAAAGAACTTATATGCATATATGCATAACCCAAGGACA